TTAAAATACATTAATATAGTGTGTAAAATGACCTTTAACACTAATTATAAAATCAAAATGAATTACAACACAATTACACAAATTATATTTTTGTTTTATAAAATAGTTAAAATAAAAAACCTTCAAATTAATTTATCATAAAATGGCCAAAATGATGAAACCGAAGATTGAAACAAAGATACTGAAGGATCCATCTTTTGGGTCTTGACAATTTGACATTGGATAGATGTGAACATGCGGGTTATTATTCAAATCTCTTCCAGTTTGATTTTTGTCCAAATATTCAACGCAACAATCGTCATCATTTTTGACCCAACAGTTGTCTTCGTTACTACAAATACCATCTTTTAAAACAGCTCTATCATCACACTTTTTACAATTGTGATTGACATCAAATAACAAACAATAATCTTCGCTTCTTACGTCCTTCAATTCAATGCAAGTGCTTTTATCTTTTGCGCAGCCATTCACACACTTTTCATCACATTGTTGACATTTGTAATTATCGTCCAAAAAGTACTCTGAGAAGCACTCAGTACACTGCTTTCTATTTTCATCATAATTTGAGCAATGTGAGATATCAATACAACTTGAAACATCTCCGTCATAAACAGTTTTACATTTATACATTATGTTGCAACTCGAACATTGTTCATTATTTAATTCACTACACACGGCCATAGTGCAATCTACACACGTTTGTTCACTTGAGAAATACATACCTTCTTCACAATTTTCACAAACATCTGGAATGCTTTCGCTACATGTTTTACATTTACTTTCTTTGGTACACGCCTTGCACTTATTATCTGCAGTAAGGGTATATCCATTCATACATCTTTGACACGTGTTTGTGTCATCATCACATTCGTTACAATTGTCATCAGAACACTTTTTGCAAACGGAATTGACCATGCCATACCCTTCAAGGCAGAATTCACAACTGGTCGCATTATTTTCACATCGATCGCACCCTGTTGGACATTTGACACAATCATTGTTTTTAATCCCATAACCATCAGCACAATATTCACAATCGGGAATACCATCTTCAACACGACAATGTGAACGTTCAACGCATTTCCCATTTGTCCAGAAATGATTTTCCTCGCAAAATTCACATTCATTTGCACTACTGTATATTAAACACTTTTCGATATTACCTGGAACACAATTCTTGGACTTCTCATCAACATAATACCCATCAATGCACATAGAGCATTTCCCTTGTGTTTCTGTGTCTATTTCAAGACAGTTTGGTACTCGAATACAGGCAGACTGTGATTCATTCAAGTAATAACCATCTTTACAGCGAGTGCATTTGCACGAATCATCAGTCACCAAATAACACCCTTTGTGAGTAGAAGAACAGTCAATACATTCATCAGAATTTGTAAGGGACATTGGGGGTTTGCAAGAAGTGCACTGTAAATCAGAACCAATGACTTGATAATCCAAACAAAGCTCGTCACCTTTTACACACGTCATTGTGGATAATTGCATTTTGTACCCATCTGTGCATTTAGTACACTGATTTTCAAAAGTTTCTTCACAAAAGAGATCTCTTTTGAATACACAAGTGTTATCCTTGAGGATGTATTCATTGATACATGATTCACAATTATCTGTTCCACATTGTCGACAATGCTTCACTGTACACTCTTGTGAATTGACTAATACTAATGTAATGAATAGAAGAACCGCCATCACTCAATAATAATTTTAAAAATTAAACATTTAAATAATATGGAAAGAGGTATTGTTTGATTGGAAACTTGCTATACAACACACATTGAAAAATTAATATTAACATCGAAAACAGAATGTTTTTAAAATATCCAGTAGAATATAAATATATAGTCAAATTTTTTTATTGAAAAGATTTCTTATTTGTTAACTGCATTTGTTATTTCGACATGTAAAAAATATATAGAGTCATTCACTAAACTTTGTTGAATAAATTTTATAATTTTTTTATGTAAAATAAACATTTTTATATAATTATACCGGTTAGATTTTCAAATAATTAATATTTTATTGAATAATGAG